ATGGTTATTGGTTACACATTGCTTTCATGCTACAATGATATTGTTGACTTTTTTAAAGAGGGCACAGCTCACAGTGGCCCATGCGGGGATTGAACCCGTAACCTTGGTGTTATCAGCACCACGCTCTAACCAATTGAGTTAACAGGTGACAACCCCCCTCCCACCCAACCCACTCCCCCTTCCACCATAATTCTTTAGAGAACTGAAGAAGAGGAAGTGTTTCAAGGCAGGCAATGAGATACCATTCAAATAGGTAGATGTGGTATGCAGGATAAGAGTCCTTCAAAGATGTTCATGTCCTAATTCCTGGATCCTCTGAATTTGTTTTACCTTATATGGCAAAGGAGAGTTAAAATTACGGATAGAATTAAGATTATTAATCATTTGATTTTATGATAGGGGGATTGACTGGATTAGCCCTGAAGGCCCAATGTAATCACAAGGGCCCTTAAAAGTGAAAGAGAGAGGCAGGAGAACAGGTCAGGACGATGTAATATGAGAGGGAGTCAACCTGCCCTTGCTGCCTTAAAGATAGAAGAAGGGGGTGTAGCCAAAGAGTGAGGGTGACCTCTAGAACCTGGAAAAGACAAGGAAATTAATTGTTCCCTGGAGTCATCAGAAAAGGATGCAACTCTGCAACACCTTGGTTTTAGCCTTGTGAGGAGGCTAAAGCCTGTGTCAGATTCTGACCAATAAAACTGTAAGATAATAAAGGTGTTGTTTGAAGCCACTCAATTTGTGTTTCTTTATTATAGCAAAAACAGAAAACAACACAGTAGGGATTACAGGAAGACAAACGTAATCTCATCAACTGAGGAGGGATTTGCTGCTGTAATTAAGATGAGGAAATAGTTTGTGAGACATTAACAAAGGACCCAGAGTGGCAGACAATGAGTAGAGTAATCATGTGTCCTTTCTCTAAGTGCAAGGCCACCAAAATGGACATGGTTGGTGACCAGATGGAAAAAGAGAGAAGGCTAAAAAGGAAGGTAATATTGTATACCTGACTAATAGGAAGAATAAAGATTCCTTAAGCAATCCACGGAAAATAAGAAAAATCCAAGGTAAAATAAAAGATATCAAGAAATTCTTAAAAACTTACAGTGAATGTTACACATAGTCATGGTGGGTCAAGGATATGTTGTCTTCCTTAATTAGAAGAGTTTGGGGCCGGCCGAGTGGTACGTTGGTTAAGAGCTGGCTTGGGATGCCAGAGGGCCCCGGTTC